AGGATACTATACATTTTACACACACATAGCTTCAGTATGGATACGCCTGCATGTGTAGTATTTCTACATATGCTTAAGCTTGTCGTATACGATGCAGCTAAAAGAATAGGGTGGTCAGGGTCTGAGGCTTGGTTGAATGCATGTCATCGAAACCCGACGGTATGGGGCGTTATTCATAATATGACCCGGTGGTGTGTCTGGCCTGGACGCCTTTACTTACAGGCCGCCGTCATATTACTGGAATATTGCTGCGACGTTAAAAACATACAAAACAATTAAACACATAGTATAAATTATAATACGTGTAAAAAGACGTGTGTCGGACACGACAAAACGCATTACTCGTTCTCGAATAAAGCGATCTGATTGGTTAAAAAACATGCAAGTCGGCTGGCCGCATGTACGACATCATGACGTCATAGTGTTTGATGTGACGTCACCTGCTTGGCACGTCACAATTGACCCAGATCGCACTTAGAGTTACCCGTACTGTGAGTCAGAGGTAAGGTGGGGTGAAATATAGTTTAACGTCGCGTTCAGGATTATTGCACTTATAGAGATACATGCAGGTGTATTTGAATTTATCCACCAGACCACGGCGGCGGTCCACTGAAAGTCCGACGGTGGGCACAAGAAAAATCAAAATGTTACACAAATGACACGAAATGTTTCACTCCACATAGTATTGGTCACGTGTGAACACGTATAGTAGTTGCAGGTACGGTATTTTACGAGCTCGTGGTGTACAAAGCCACCCTCCACCTACTATATATATACCATGTTCATTATTCAGCCTTGCTTGACAACCGTATAAGGATTTATACCGAAACGTCACATTTACAGCAAATAAAGAAGTTGTTATCCATAAATTGTGTCTACTTTGAAAGCCATTCATCTCGTGATTGTTTGTTTTGTTGTTTAAGGCCACACTCAGTAATATTCCAGCTTTATGACGGCGGTCTGTAAATAATCGAGTCTGGACCAGACAATCCAGTGATTGATATCATGAGCATTAATCCACGCAATTGGGATCGATGACATGTATCAACCAAGTCAGCGAGCCTGACCACCCGATCCCGTTAGTCGCCTTTTACGACAAGCATAGTCACCTTTTATGGCAAGCATTGGTTGCTGAAGACCTATTCTACCCCGGAATCTTCACGGGTCTGAACTGACGTCCACCCCGCTGCTGACGCATGTAACTCACACCGTGGAACTGTACTGTACTGTACTTCCGGTACACACGTACAGATGGACATGGTTTGAAAACAATGGCACATCTCATCTCACTCACCTTCGACGGCAACTGACTGTTACTCCGAATACATGACCACAACAAGAAAAATACACACGCTCCTTGATCATAGCAATCAATGCTACATTGGCTCCTTAAGTGACCACGGTCAATGCTGGTTGTATCGTACTCTCTGGGAATCATCAAAACCGTGAATGGATAGCCTCTTGTGTTGTGTGGAAGAAACGTCGATTCACAGCATTGTCACTTTCAATGCTATACCACAATGTTTTCTACAAATATTGTCCAGCCGTTTGGATCTGTCTCAAACAAGCAGTGCTATCCGACACGCCCCAATTCTCGCGAACATCAGCCTGAAATATTCTCCTCGGAATATGCGTGCTATAGACGTCAATAAAGTATTGATTGTGCTCAATAAAACATTCTCTTTTCTTTCGGGAGTTTTCATTGGATTATCTCCCTTTGCTGACACATTTTTACCTTTATGACTCAATGGTGCCCGTATTGATTGTAAAACTAACATACACGGCTTTATCGTGAGACGAAACACGAGTACAGATAGAAGTCAATGTATATATTCAGTCAATTTGTAAAATTGTATTGATAATAAATTTGGTTAGCACAAATACCATTGTTGACGTAGTGCAGAGACCATTGTTGACGTAACGCAGAGACCATTGTTCACGTAACGCAGAGACCATTGTTCACGTAATAATGACCGCCAGGTTGTTATGTTTTATGATGTCACAATAATGATGACGCCAGGTATCATTGTTATCCTCATATGGCCACTGTGTGCTTCAAGACCAGGTTGTCAATAACAAGGACAATACGCATACACTACAGCTACATTTTGAAGTATTACACCCGTGTTAGTATTCTATTGATTTTACGAAACTCGAGTCAGAATTCATGAATACAAATCTTCTGACACTAGATTCGCAAGAAAAGTACCACACACACGCACGCACGCACGCACGCACGCTCACACGTACGTTTATGTAATGCTCCCTACAGTATATGTAGCTACTAAGTAGATGAGCTTCTTTTTAAGACAAAACCCAAGTACATACAAATACGAAAAACAAATGAAAAACATTTTTACAAATCATGTATCGACTGCTAGTGTAGATGAAGGGATCGAAAACATAATTGGAGCGTCAGTTACTTTTGTTTGTTTATCTGCTTCCATAGCAACAGCATTTATGTCCAGGATCCAGATCATTCTGTCTTTGACGACTTTGCCCTGAGAGATCACTGTAATAGAGTAAATGCGTGTTAATACAAGTTTCAGAGTACGTGAGCGTGATAATGCCGCTTTAAAAAGTATTTCAGATATACAAGTTGTGTCATCTTAAAGTGACGAAATCAACACAGGATTTTCATTTGGAAATGTAACTGCCTGTACAGAAAAGGCACTTGCATGATTTATTCAATGTCAATTTCGTTTCCGTTTACCAATGCAACATTTTAATGTTCGGGCTACGATATCCGCCATTATCGGCTGTCGGCTTGTTTAAATCAGAGACTCGCAGATCGCGTATTTTAGTCGCTGTTTATCATTATATATAATAAAATAATATTTATGAAAACGAAAGATTTTTTTAATATTGATTAGAAAAATTGGTCCGGCTGGTCAAATTGGTCCTCTACAGACGTTTATTAGTTTTAACACACGGGCACTCTGGCATGGTGCAGGCGAGCCATGGGTCATTATCGGGAGAAGCCGGTATTCGAAACAGTTTGATCATCTATACGGAACAAAGAAAAGTTAGGGATCATGAATATCTTTGAGAATAAATTTTTGAAGTGACGACTGAGCACACATACAAATATCCCCACAAACATTGATGATCCCAAACTTCTTTTTTCAGTAAAGGTCAATACAGTAAAAAGCGATTACCCAAACTGTCAAAGTTTTTTTTTACCAAGTTTTTATCATAGTTTTTGATAGTGTAACGGGGACTTTACACAAACCGCAACGTCTAGACCAGCAATGAAACGGGGACCATACCATGACGCTTATCGTTTCTCCCCTAATATTAGAATAATGGATTGGTATTATGATCAGTTTTAAAAACAAATAACCATTGGGTGATGTGAGTATATACGTTACATGTGTTTGACGTCGGCGTGTAAACTTATCGAGCCTTGGACCTTTATCACAAAGAAGTCATGGTGGTAGGGCAATCTCATTAAAATCAGATCTTAGTTCTCGCTACCGCTAAACAAAGATCTGAGGACATCCCATTACGGGTCACGTCAGACCGACCTTGCGCGAACTTTGACCGACCAATGAAATGACTGACAAGAAGTTCACATTAGCCAATCAGAAGGCAGCTTACTCGTGCTTTACGGTACTAATTTCAATTTGGCGACTACGCTTCGAAACATATTTTGACAAATTCTCGATAAAAAAATTTGGAACCTGAACAAAAAAACATTCTGGAATGGCTTATAGATGGTCTAGATTGTATGGATTCAGTCATCAAGCCCGTAACTATCGTTCGGTATACCCCGTGTTGAAGTTTTCGAGGTTGCAAGATTAGAAATCACATTCCGACTGTCACTTTCATGATCTGGTAAGCGACGCTCTGATTGGTCGGATGAAAGGTCGTTCTGACGTGACCCCTAATGGGATGTCCTCAGATATTTGTTTAGCTGTATCGAGGACTAAGATCTGATTTTAATGAGATTGGGTGGTATGGCGGTTGTAAAACTCCTCTTGTTTTACATAAACCCATGGCGGTTAGTCACTAGCTCTATGGCCTCATTGAGAAATGAGTCCCTGGTATCGACGCACCAGTTCAGAGATAAGCGATAGAGTCAGTAAGCGAGTTTAACGCCTCATTCAACGATATTTCAATCTAATCACGACGTGTCGGCTTATTGGGGATGAAAACCCGAAGTGATGCAAGTTTTAGACGTTTACCATTTTTATCAAACGTTCGATCAAAGGTTTGGTGCTGACTAAAGCAATAGTCAGGGCGAATTTGGAATTCCACCCGACTATCATAGGATTCTGCGGCGCTTAAAGGGACGCAACTCTGCACAGCCAAATTAGACGACTGCACCATCCGTGTATAGGGGACCACATGCACAAGTCAAGAGCTCGGTTTATCCTTGTGGTAGCGACAAAATATAAAAAGACAACCAAATAAATCTTCCTTCCTCAGCAGCAATTATGACCTCCCGACCCCCATTTCAGTTGATTCTTATGAGAATTATCGGTATTAAGGACTTGATGTGCAGTGAATAATGTTTAACCCCGCAGTGTGCAAAAATCTGGTTATATCAACGTTGCTTGTAAATAATCAAGTCTGGGCCAGGCAAGCCAGTGATTGAAGTCATGAGCAAAGACACGCGCCATCGGGGCACGATGACACGCAAGTCAACGGGCCTGACGTCACCAAAGAGGGATGAATGAAACACCGTGGTATCTCTCACGAAGACAATAGTATATAATGTTGTTTCAATAATCTGACGCTCCAAGCAGGGCATGTCTATATATGGTAGCAAGTCACCATTTCATCATATATTCATAACTTGTCTAAAGCCTATGGACTATTTCAAAATAAATGGGTCCAGTAACACTGTTGTAGATCGGAGCTGTGATATCGTTTGATGTTTTGGAAATGCTTCACACCAAACCAGTGTTAGGGCTCAAATACTGAGACGAGCCATTCACCAAGTCTAGATCATCGACGCTAGGGGAATCCCCAGCCTCGGTTTCGTCACATCTGAAGAAGTACGAAGTACAAGCAATATTTTGTGGAACAGGTTTGTGGAACAAGTTTGTGGAACGCCTTAATTAAACCGGCGATAAGAGACACACCTGACAGCTGAATATATCGGTAGCTGCAACGTTACCTACATTCATGCAATGGTGAGGCTGAAATCTAAATCGGTCTAATAGTTTTCCTGCTGTTATTTTCAAGGTGTCCTCGGCTGGTTTACCTGGGAGCCGCAATGGGGCCATGTCTTAACTGTCGGTTTCCATCGTGTGTTGGGTCATGTTTTTTGACTGCCCGACCCCATTGTACGTTGGGTCATGTCTTAACTGCCCGACCCCATCGTATATAGGGTCATGGCTTAACTGCCGGACCCCATCATATATAGGGTCATGGCTTGATTGCCCGCCCCCATCGTATAAAGGGTCATGGCTTGACTGCCGGACCCCATCATATATAGGGTCATGGCTTGACTGCCCGCCCCCATTGTACGTTGGGTCATGTCTTAACTGCCCGACCCCATCGTATATAGGGTCATGGCTTGACTGCCGGACCCCATCGTATGTAGGGTCATGGCTTGACGGCTGGACCCCATCGTAATTAGGGTCATGGCTTGACTGCTCTACCCCATCGTATATAGGGTCATATCTTGACTGCCGGACCCCATCGTATATAGGGTCATGGCTTTACTGCCGGACCCCATCGTATAAAGGGTCATGTCATGACTGCCGGATCCCATCCTATATAGGGTCATGGCTTGACTGCCGGACCCCATCATATATAGGGTCATGGCTTGACTGCCGGACCCCATCATATATAGGGTCATGGCTTGACTGTCAGACCCCATCGATATAGGGTCATGGCTTGACTGTCAGACCCCATTGTATATAGGGTCATGGCTTGACTGTCAGACCCCATCATATATAGGGTCATGGCTTTACTGCCGGACCCCATCGATATAGGGTCATGGCTTGATTGTCAGACCCCATTGTATATAGGGTCTTGTCATGACTGCCGGATCCCATCCTATATAGGGTCATGGCTTGACTGCCGGACCCCATCGTATATAGGGTCATGGCTTGACTGCCGGATCCCATCCTATATAGGGTCATGGCTTGACTGCCGGACCCCATCATATATAGGGTCATGGCTTTACTGCCGGACCCTATCAATATAGGGTCATGGCTTGACTGTCAGACCCCATTGTATATAGGGTCATGTCATGACTGCCGGATCCCATCCTATATAGGGTCATGGCTCGACTGCCGGACCCCATCGTATATAGGGTCATGGCTTGACTGCCTGACCCCATCGTATATAGGGTCATGGCTTGACTGCCGGACCCCATCGTATATAGGGTCATGGCTTGACTGTCTGAACCCATCGTATATAGGGTCATGGCTTGACTGCCGGACCCAATCGTATATAGGGTCATGTCTTGACTGTCGGACCCCATCGTATATAGGGTCATGGCTTGACTGCTGGACCCCATCGTATATAGGGTCATGGCTTGACTGCCAGACCCCATCGTATATGGGGTCATATCTTGACTGCAGGACCCCATCGTATATGGGGTCATGGCTTGACTGTTGGACCCCATCGATATAGGGTCATGGCTTGACTGCCGGACCCTATCGTATATAGGGTCATGGCTTGACTACCGGACCCCATCGTATATAGGGTCATGGCTTGACTGCAGGACCCCATCGTATATAGGGTCATGGCTTGACTGTCTGACCCCGTCGTATATAGGGTCATGGCTTGACTGCTGGACCCCATCGTATATAGGGTCATGGCTTGACTGCCAGACCCCATCGAATATAGGGTCATGGCTTGACTGACGGACCCCATCGTATATAGGGTCATGGCTTGACTGCAGGACCCCATCGTTTATAGGGTCATGACTTGACTGTCTGACCCCGTCGTATATATAGGGTCATGGCTTGACTGCTGGACCCCATCGTATATAGGGTCATGGCTTGACTGCCAGACCCCATCGAATATAGGGTCATGGCTTGACTGACGGACCCAATTGTATATAGGGTCATGGCTTGACTGTTGGACCCCATCAATATAGGGTCATGGCTTGACTGCCGGACCCCATCGTATATAGGTACATGGCTTGACTACCGGACCCCATCGTATATAGGGTCATGGCTTGACTGTCGGACCCCATCGTATATAGGGTCATGTCTTGACTGCCGGACCCCGTCGTATAAAGGGTCATGGCTTGACTGTCGGGGTTACCAACAGTCAAATTATGACCCCTTTGTAGGCTACGTGACACTGTATGAATCATGGCACAGGTATGTTGTCTGGCACAGGAACTCATTATTGGTCAGTAAATAGAACTATATACCCCCAATATATGAGTAGAGAATAGGGGGTATATATTTTATTTACTGACCAATAACGAGTTCCTGTGTAGTCTGGTGGTTTAAAGCACAGGAACACATTATTAATCAGTAAATATAAATATATAGTCATACCCCTATATTTTTATTTACTGACCAATAGAGTTCCTGTGGTTTAAAGGGGCTCTAGGGAAAATGGTCCCTTGCAAAAAGAGCTCCAACTTTGTGTGGAAATGGCCAATTGTTTTTGTGAAATTGGCCCCAAACAAAACAAATACAAGTCCGTTGTGATTTACAGTCAAAGCTGTAGTAAGGGTTTTATTCCCTTTAAGGTTTCCATTTTTGAGGTTCCAGCTGTGACTCACTCGCTCATCTTTGAGAGTTCATGTTGAGATTTGAAAAAAGAGAAAGATAAATTCTATCTTTATCACAAATTATTTTACTAGTACTGTTTTGCAATATGTTTTTTTAGGAAATTTAATCATTAAATATATTCAACAATGATAAGTTTTATAAAAGCTGAATGTTCTCTTGTATCCGCAATCCGCCTATAATTGTCCATATGAAAACCAAACCAAAATCTTATTGAGGTTGATATACATGTATATGCGCTTGCAGTATTGATATAAATATATACTACTCAAAAAGAGTTAAGGATCACCGATTCTTTCATATTACTACAGTTAATCTGTCATGACATGACAAAGTAACTACAGTAATATGAAAGGATTGGGTGATCCTTAACCTTTTTTTAGTAATATATTAGAAACATCATTAACAAAACACAATTTCCTTACTTTCAGTTCATTCTTCAATAATCAGTTTCTACACCTCAACCAATAAAATATGACAATGATACCCAGATTTCAACTGCTACTCTCAAGGATCAACAGTCATCATGGACAGCAGTGTGTCCTATACAATCTGGGGAAGACATTTCCCTTACAAAACCCCTCACATCCAGTAATGGCTACCTTTTCTACAACACAGTGCATTGAACGTACCAAACCAAGGCTGTGGAAAGAGAACTGCATTCACGTTTCACAATTCAAAGTTGATGTAATGCAAAGGGTCTGGAAAGATTTCAGGCGATTTTCCAGTACCAAAGAAGTGACTGTGGAGAAGAAACTGAGGCACTTTATGGACATGTGGGAGATGGAAAAAGCAGTCCAGTTATTAAGAGATTCTGTAGATGATGGAGTCTTACCTCATCAGAACATTGTCCTCAACCTCCTCCAGCAGTTGGCAAATCTGGGTGAGACAGAATGTCTTCTTGACCTCCATGAATTCCTCACTGAGAAAAAACTGGTAACAGATGCTAAATTTTTCAACGCTTTAAAAGACGCTTATTATTACAGTGGGAGGCTTGACGAGGGCGTTGGTGTGCTGAGAATTCTTTTTCATCGAACTCGCAAGTTTCGTAATGTCGAGATTTTCTTCTGTTTACTGGCTGTGATGGTTATCCGACATTTCCCACATCGGATAGATCTAATTGAGGGGTTTGTGACTGATTTGAAAGAGTTTCAAACTCCTGTTATCGAACCTGTGGCATCGCTATGGAAGTGTTACATATTGACAGGAATGTTTGAAAAAGCTGATCAAGTTCTAGCAGAGAATGAAGAGATAAAATCTCACATACCGCAGATGGTGTCTGATATATGTTCAAGGTATAACAAGATCGAGGCAGACTATGACACAGTGCTTCACCATCTGAAGGACAGCCCTCTCATCTCAGCCAGACTGAGAACAGCCTTGTTCACTGAACATGCGGAAGTATTATGTAAGTGATTTTGAATCATTTCTGAACAAATGAATTCAGCTGACAGCTTGTTTATTATGTAGAAAATTGAGCTTTGTGCTCATCTGAAATATATTTGCTTATTATTGAGCAAAGGGCCTTACTTAGTTTTCCAATGGGCAGCCACAATGGTAAAATAAGTTGCGTTCAAAGTTGTGCTGAATATCAAAATACACATTACTTGACATAAGTCATAAGGCACATGTGCCATGTATTTAATGTATATCATAATTTACAGTTATACAGGCTGACATGGTTTAGTCATATGTACAGAAGAAATTTTCAATGTTATCAGATCAGAATTCTGGGAGCATGTTCTTGAGAATCCATTGTTGGGACCACGGTGTTGAAAATTTAGAACTTTGTGCCACAGGTGGTGTTAAAAATTTAGAACTTTGTGCCAAAGATGGTGTTAAAAATTTAGAACTTTGTGCCAAAGGTGGTGTTGAAAATTTAGAATTTTGTGCCAAAGGTGGTGTTTTCAAAATTTAGAACTTTGTGCCAGGTGAGCTGTTGAAAATTGAGTATGTTGTTCCAAAGGTGGTGTTCAAAATTTAGTATGTTGTGCCAAAGGTGTTGTTGAAAATTTAGTACTCTGTACCAAAGATGGTGTTAAAAATTTAGAACTTTGTGCAAAAGATGGTGTTAAATATTTAGTATGTTGTGCCAAAGGTAGTGTTGAAAATTTAGAACTCTGCGCCAAAGGTAGTGTTAAAAATTTAGAACTTTATGCCAAAGATGGTGTTAAAAATTTAGTACTTTGTGCCAAAGGTGGTGTTGAAAATTTAGTACTTTGTGCCAAAGGTGGTGTTGAAAATTTAGAACTTTGTGCCAAAGGTGGTGTTTTCAAATTTAGAACTTTGTGCCAGGTGAGCTGTTAAAAATTTAGAACTTTGTGCCAAAGGTGGTGTTGAAAATTTAGTACTTTGTGCCAAAGGTGGTGTTGAAAATTTAGAACTTTGTGCCAAAGGTGGTGTTTCAAAATTTAGAACTTTTTGCCAGATTTAGAACTATATTAATGCTTTATGTAAGAGGCAACAAACAGGATGGGGTGGTCAGTCTCGCTGATTTGTCATGTCATTGTATCCCAATTGCGTAGATTGATGCTCATGATATCAATCACTGGATTGTCTGGTCCAGTCTTGATTATTTACAGACTGCCCCTCAAACAGCTGGAATATTGCTGAGTGCGGCGTTAAACAAACAAAACACACAAAGCATATGGTAATGCCTGAAGGTGCACACTATTGTTGCAGGCAGCTTGGATAAACACGATGAAGCGATGGATGTACTGAGTGAAGCAATGACCCAGGGTATGACCCCAGCAACGGGGAGACTGACCATCATCCTGACCCAGCTGATGGAGCGGGTCCAAGACAAGGACAAGTCTGACAGGCTTGCCTCCTTGCTGCAGTGGTGTGATCAGCTGGAAGGCGCCAAGTGACTGCTTTTGGCACAAAATAATTAATAAGGAACTTGTCAGTGCCAGTTGAAATTGGGAGTCCAAGCAGGCTTAATTCAATCTGCTGGAACACCAATGTCTTTTATGATGTGTATAGATCAATCAGCTAATGATCATCATGCAGGTGATGTTCATTAAATGGGTTTTATAACATGTATAATAGTGGTGTAACAATATGGCGATTCAGTATTGCATTGTGATACGAGGCCCACGATATAATTCATCTATTCACAACCCCTGTATCGCTTTACATAAGATACATTTCATTACAAGTCATATTGGTGTAAAAACCTGTGCTTAATAACAGAAACTGTTCTACCAACAGCTTACGGGGATGTCGGGTAGCCCAGTGGTTAAAGCGTTCGCTCGTCACGCCGAAGACCCGGATTCGATTCCCGACATGGGTATAATGTGTGAAGCCCATTTCTGGTGGCCCCCGCCGTGATATTGCTGGAATATTGCTAAAAGCAGCGTAAAACCATACTCACTCACTCACCAACAGCTTATGCAGATTATCTCGTATTTCATGGTTGGATATAAATAGCATGACATTCACAGCGTCCTCTACCAATATGTTTCTGCCCCACAATTATATCATCTTTGATCTCTGAAATTTTATTACAAATGATTCAGGGTTGTGATTCACTTGCAAAAAGAAAGAATATCAACTTGTGAAATAAAAGTGCTGTATTGTGATACGAATTGTATAGCACCCATAGTACCGGGATACGTATCATATCGCAACCATACCATATCGTTACACCTCAAATGTATATGTTCACCTACCAGACATAACAAAATATTCACATGACATTTTGAAATTAAGAACACAAAATCTGAATTGTCTTTTATATATATTTTCCGAACCTACTGATCAGTATTTAAAAAAAATAATTTCAACCAAAACTTATCATTACCTATTAGAGGAACAAACAATATTATGCAAAGTCTTTGAAATATTCTGTATAGAGTGTTTGAGAATGCCTAAGGTGTACCCGACATTGCAATGTAAGTAATAATACTAAATGTAGGACTTATGTATTTCTTATACAGTCAAACACTGTTGTGTCGAAGTAAGGGACGTACATAAATATTTTGAGTTGTCCCAGGTTCGACACATCCGAAAAATGATGAATAAAGAAGAAGTACACAGGACAAAAAGGAATGCTTTTGTTCTTTGTATGTCTTGGTGACCCTCATGTACAATCTCTATGACCCTTTCTTGTTATGTTTGTGATTTCACAATAAGTTGACCTTCCAATCGATTCCTTCTGTATGACATGTAGGTTTGTTGGCTGTGTTGCTTTGTGACATAAGCTCTTCCTGTCTGATGTCTTCCGCTGTGATGACTCTCTTCAAATTGTTCCAGATCTGGTCAGTTCAAGAGCTATTCACATGGTTCTCTCCTGTTTGTCTGCACCAATAGTCTCTTCAATTGTCCTAGCCTCTGGCAAGTATGTGCGTGCAATGAAGTTGACTACTGTTCTTTTGTCATCTCCTGCATGGGCACTTCAGCTCCTAGAGGTTGTGGATGTCTGGACATGTGCTCTGCTGGGTTGTTTGTTCTTTCCAGGACATTTGATTGTCATCTTTAAGTGTTGTAGCCTCAGTCCCCATCGTTCTATGCGTAGTAGTGGTTTTGATTTCAGCCAGATATCCTCAAGTGGTTATGGTCTGTGATGACTTGAAATGTGCTGAAATGAAATTCTTGCAGGCCCACACTACAGCCTTTTAAAGAAGTGCTTCTCTTTGTGTTTGACTGTTTCTGGATTCTGTGTTTGTTAAAGCTCTGCTGCTGTATGAAAGACCATGACAGTCCTGTGTAAACTGTACCCGGTAATGTGTCAACGATAATCTGTGTGCTTTTGTGGATCAAAGTATGTACCGACACACTGTTCCAAGAGTGATTCCTTCAGCCTCAGGAACGCCCAGTCTTGTTCTGCTTTTCAGCTCCTCTCGGATTCTTTTCTTATGAGTCTCCTCAATGACTCTGTTAATGTCGTATAGTGTTTGATAAAGCGTCCACAGTAGTTGCTCATTCCAAGGAAGCTCTTACTTCAGACACGTTTATGGGCTTTTCTGTTTCTTATGGCCTCCTCTTTCTTTGGGTCAGGTGACATGCCTTCCGCACTAAATACCATACCAAAGAATTCTAGGGGATCTTTGTTTCTTTAGAGTTAGACCTCTGTCCTTCAGTCTCTGGCACACTGCATCGAAAGCAATGTTATGTTCTCCGTTTTTGCTGTAGATGATTATATCGTCATTGCAGTTTCACAGTTTGGAATGTCTCTAATGACTGCTTTGCTCTCTTTGTGAAACACTTCCAAAGCAGATGATACTCCAAAGCTGGGTCTCTTGTAGCGGTACAGTCCCGAAAAGTAATTTGGCAGGAATCTTGATGTAACTGTATTTGATTAAATCCAGCTCGCTGACTTGGTTGATGCATGTCATCGATTCCAATTGCGTGGATCGATGCTCATGATATCAATCACTGGATTGTCTGGTCCAGACTCGATTATTTACAGACCGCCGTCATATAGCTGGAATATTGCTGAGTGCGGCGTTAAACAACAAAACCAACCAACCAACCAACCATAGATCTAATTTGCTGAAGACTTTGCACCTTTTAAGTCATGAGTGATTCATCCTTCGTAGGACTCTGATGTTTGTTTGCTTGTTGTTTAACGCTGCACTTAGCAATATTCCAGCCATATGATGTTCCTAAGGGTGTGTTGAAACAAGTCAACTTTCTTTCTTCTGTCCATTTTGGGACAACCGCCTCCGTGGTCTGGTGGTAGAGCGTCCGCCCGGAGAGCGAAGGGTCCGGGGTTCCATCCCCGGCCGCGTCATACCAAAAGACGTTAAAAGATGGTACTTGTTGTTACCCTGTCTGGCTCTCGGCATTAAGGGGCTAAAACAAGGACTGGTCGGCTCGGAGTCAGTATACTGTGCCTGAGTGGGGTATTCATGTTAAACTGCGGCATGGTATCTCAGTGAGCTAGCATCAAATCGGCATCAGTCAATCTAGTACAAGCATGCCACACAAACACATACACGTACATGCACGTGGCTATATAAGTGCAATAATCTTAGACGCGACATTAAACCCAATTTCACCTCACCTCCATTTTGGGACTACCAATCTTCTTATATGGACCTTCATCCATTATGTTTTCTAACGCTCCTGTATCTATCATGATGTCACGTTTTGTTTATTATTTTGATTGATACAACAGCTGAATGTTTCTTATTCACTTGCGTTGTATTGTTCTTTCACCGCAGTGATCCTGTAAAAGTATAAGTCTTTCTATGTGTCTATGTTGCTGTCTGGTGCAAGAAGCCAAAACTTTCATCAAGCTGCAGAAGACAAACAGATAATTAAATACTGTGGGCAAAGATTGACTGATTGAATTGATCAGTGTGGTGAAAATCCACAAGCAAATTAAGCAACACTTCCCTCTACAGCACACGGCCTCCATTATTCCATTCTCTCCTCGCTTCTTCTGCCTAAAAAAACAGAACTTCCTCTCATAAAAAACAGACACCACATTACTAAGCTTATACTTCAAGACAACCGTAAGTTCGACACAACAGTGTTTGACTGTATATATATATATCTGTATCATTTTTCCAGAGCATACACATTCACCTATGATATCCATCCAAAGTTGATGCAAGACATGTAACCACGGAGCTTATACGTAACTCAATATTAAAGCTAGATTGAGTGTTTGTAAATAAATAGTTGTTCTTTATTTTATGGTGTATTATCCTCTTCTATCATGTTTGGTTTGGTTTGGTTTGTTGTTTTACGCCGCACTCAGCAATATTCCAGCTATATGACGACGGTCTGTAAATAATCGAGTCTGGACCAGACAATCCAGTGATTTACATCATGAACATCAATCCACGCAATTGGGATCGATGACATGCATCAACCAAGTCAGCGAGCCTGACCACCCGATCCCGTTTGTCGCATTTTTCGACAAGCATGGGTTGCTGAAGATATATTCTACCCCGGATATATTCACAATCTACAAGTGATCCAATAGCTTGTGGATTTTCTACCTTGGATCTACCCCGGATCATATTCTACCCTGGATCTTCACGGGTCCTTCCATCATGTACGTGGTGGAGTTATGATGTACAGTCTCGCAATACGATACATGTACGTTGGCAGTATGATGTGGCTCATGCTTTCAGTCACTGGTTTGCCTTGTCCAGACTTGAACATTTACAGGCTGTAGAAGTTTATGATGCTCTTAACAGTATTCAGTCCTTGCACCATGGCCAGGTATACTGGGGTCCTGAACTTACAGAGCTGCATGTTGTAGACCAGGGTACCGTTGTACAAAGCGATCTTAGCGCTAAGGTGAACATAACCCCCATACCTTAACATAGACTTACGGCAGTCGTAGCGCTAAGGTTGGTTTGTACAACCGCACCTAGCTTTGTGAAATCCTAAAGTCCGGGTACAGCAGTCTGTCTTACAGACCCTGATACAAATATATATCAAATACAGCCCATGCAAGTCTATAATGTTTGGCCAGTCTAGATAACTGCAGTATCTGAAAATGAAGAGAGTCACTGGGCTCCCTTTTATTATATTTTTATTAAGATAACTGAACAACTAGATGTTACCGTAGTCTAGGTACAGCACTGACAAGTTACAAACTGCAAAACAGGTTATGGCTCATTTGATGTGAGACCATAGCCAAGATCTATTTCACTTGGAATGATAGTTTCTAAATCAGTTGATTCAATTTCCAACTTTTAAACTTTCTAAATAAAAGATAATGAACTAATGAGTACGTGTATATTCCAACCATGTAACAGGGGAATGTACAAAAAATGGGCTGCATGTGTTGTACCCTTGTTGGGACTTGATCCCTGGTCTTTGGCATGGGGAAGACCCGTGAAGATCCGGGTAGAATAGGTCTTCAGCAACCCATGCTTGCCGTAAAAAGCGTAAAAAGGGATCGGGTGGTCAGGCTCGCTGACTTGGTTGAAGCATGTCATCGATCCCAATTGCGTGGATCGATGTTCATGATGTCAATCACTGGATTGTCTGGTCCAGACTCGATTATTTACAGACCGCCGTCATATAGATGGAATATTGCTGAGTGCGGCGTTAAGCAACAAACAAACAAATAAATCTTTGGCATGATGATGTTAACCACTTGGCTACCACACTGCCCAGGTAATATTTGTAATGAGTGAGTGATTTGAATTTTATGCTTATAATCAGTTATATCACAAAATGTCAGCTTAATGGGAGGAAAGCCAACAGTGATGCAGGTCTTTAACCATTTTATTGAAACCCATGAGGAATATGTTTTGTTTGTTTGTTGTTTCACGCCGCACTCAGCAATATTCCAGCTATATGATGGCAGTCTGTAAATAATCGAGTCTGAACCAGACAATCCAGTCATTGACATCATGAGCATCGATCCATGCAAATTGGGATACAATGACATGCATCAACCAATCCTGTTAGTTGCCTCTAACAGCAAGCATGGGTTGCTGAAGACAATTCCAACCCAGATATTCACGGGAGTATGATGAGTAAGATGCCAAGGATCATAATCAAGGCAAATCTAGGATTTAAACCCCAAATTGCAGGATCCTGGCATGCCAAAGTGAAGCAACTCTACTCAGTGAAATGTGGTGCCATACATGACTGTGCCTGCCACAACAAAGTAGACATCCACAGTTATTTGTTTTATTTGTTTTTACCCGGTTCATTGACATAGAGGTGAGGTGAGGTGAGGTGAGGTGAGGTGAGGTGAAATGGGGTTTAACGTCGTGTTCAAGATTATTGCACTTATGTAGCAAAATTGCATGCACGTGTGTGTCTGTGTGTACATGTGGCTGCTTGTACTAGTCCAGACTGATGCCGATTTATAGTGCTAGCCCACTGAGATATCATGCTGCAGTTTAACATGAATACCCCACTCAGACACAGTATACTGACTCTGAGCCGACCAGTCCTTGTTTTAGCCCCTTAATGCCGAGCTCCAGGCAGGGTAACAACAAGTACCATATTTTAACGCTTTTGGTATGACGCGGCCAGGGATCGAACCCCGAACCTTCCGCTCTCCAGGCGGACGCTCAACCATTAGACCATGGAGGCGGTACATTGACAAAGAAAAACTAAAGACTCACAAACAAATGGAAACATAACATGTTTATTGAGCATGACCCATGTTGAGGCACCACCATTTTGATGTTTTGTTTATCAGTAAACATGATCTCATTCCATTACACAAAACAAGGCTGAACACACACCTCAGTACAGGATAACACGACACACATCACTGATTGTCTCACTGGCCATGCATAACCTGAACAGGTGAACTGTACTGTCTACGTGGTACAACGTTAATCAAGCAGGTTTGGACAATGTTAACCTGTATCCCTGTATATCAATTGTGTACAAAGTGAGCGAGCGAGTTGGCATGTTTTTACACCGCTTTTAGCAATATTCCAGCAATATCACGGCGGGGGATATTTGCGAAAACTATTTGCTCCTTTTATGGGACCGATTAGTTTTGTGACCATGGGCCTCTGCAGAAGCGTGGTGTTGGAAGACAAGTTATACATGTACATCCCAGAAATGGGCTTCACACATAGTACCCATTGTATCGGGAATTGAACCCAGGTCTTTGGCATGACGAGAACGCTTTAACCACTAGGCTACCTGACCGCCCCATTGCGTACAAAGCCAATGGCTTGTTGGAAGTTCTGAATAAATGCAATGACTTAATAAAATCAAGAAATATGTATCACAACTGTTCACTAACATAAATCATTTTGGCAATTTATTCAAAGCTTTCTTGGCCACTGATTAAAACAAAATGTTTTAAATATTCTCTTGGTCAAATAAGCCAAGACGATGGATACAAAAATATTCTGAATTTTGGGTTTGATTAGGGTAATGACAGCTTGTCATTTCTGTACAAATTCATTCCAGGAGAAAGTCTTCCACCATCTTGTTGAATTCATCAGCATACCTCAGATGAATGTTGTGCTTTCCCTCCGGCATATTGTGTAGCCTGAACACAAAAACATTCTGTTACATCCCAGTTTATGAGTGTTTACGCCACTGTCAGTAATAATCCATCTTCCCGACGCAAGGGCGTTATCTGACTCTAAAGGTCCAGTTTCCATCCTTGCTGAAATAGGCTTGAATTTCATAGCTCAATCATAGTGCCACCAGTGGCTACCGTATTTTCTTGAGTATATTGCGCACCCATGTATAATGCTCTACCCCCTCTAGCGGATTCAGTATTTTTGAAAAAATATATATCGAATATCAAGCGCAGAAAATAAATACACACCGTAGATCTACCCCTTCAGCGAATTTCGGTAAACGAACTGGTGACGAGAAACTTGGCCAGTACACATTCGAAATTTGAGATAAAAAAAATCACCAGACATGTTTATTTACCTTTTAAATTGTATTTTTCGTGTATAATGCGCCCCCCCTTCTACACAGCTGTGTTTTTGGGAAAAAAAGTGTGCACTATACTCAAGAAAATACGGTATTATTAGTAATGTCCCTTCTGTGTCCCTTCTATGTCTATTCACCATTCAGATTCCACCTCTCATATCACTTGCAATTGCTTCAAACAAAATGGCGGCCCCAGTCAACACGATCTGATTAATAATCAAGATCTGTATTGTAATAAAACGGGCCTCACCTTGCAAAGTGCATCAAATCACTTAAGCACCTTGATTAAAAACATGAAAAGATTAGGAAAATATCTGTTGACGCCCAGCTGGCAATACACATGTTTTGCAAATCCTTCAGTTGACTGAAATCTGTACATTGAAATCCATCGTTTCCAATCAGGATGTCAATTTCGTTACACAATTTTGATTGGACTATGCATAGAATGTGAATTCCTGTGGCTCATGAAACCCTCAAGAATTTGAAAAGTGGTTATGCATAGACATCCTGCGTTCAAATGATCTAGAGATGACAAACCTGGAGTTCTTTATATGTTTGCTGAGATACACAGGGTGCTCTGCTGCCACCATGGGGTCCTTCATTCCGTGGAGGATGAACGTCGGACACGTGATGTTCTTCAGCTCCGACTTGCAGATGTCACCTGACAGAGTGAGTGAGTGAAACTGAGTGAGTGTGTGAATGAGGTTTTGCTGCATGAGCAAAGCTTTACCTACTAGACTACCCCACGGCCCCTTTAACTGGCAAATAGATGCTGTTGTTATCCTTTAATTTCTCATTGTCATTTAGGGGGGGCATGTGTGGCCCTGTCGTCTAAGGCATAACCATTCGCTCTGCACAGTTGCACCAATGATCATGGGTTTGAGTGAGTGAGTGAGTATGGTTTTACGCCGCTTTTAGCAATATTCCAGCAATATCACGGCGGGGGACACCAGAAATGGGCTTCACACATTGTGCCCATGTCGGGAATCGAACCCGGGTCTTCGGCGTGACGAGCGAACGCTTTAACCACTAGGCTACCCGACCGCCCCATCATGGGTTTGAATCCTGGTCGCCCTAATTACTTACTTTTTGGGAAGAATAGGTGGTATATGATTATTTGTTTGTTGTTTAAATGCCACACTCAGCAATATTCCAGCTATATGACTGCCGTCTGTAAATAATCAAGTCTGGACCACACAATCCAGTGATTGACATCATGAGCATCGATCCACGCAATTGGGATACGATGACATGCATCAACCAAGTCAGCGAGCCAGACCACCCGATCCCGTTAGTCGCCTCTTACAACAAGCATACTTGCCTGTTACGGCAAGCATGGCTTGCTGAAGATCTGTTCTAGCCCAGAGCTTCATGGTCTGGTATATGATTAATTGACGTGAACTGAATAAAAGACTTGGGGCATGGGTGGCCCAGTCGTCTATAAAGCAGCTGCAGCTGTCCAGGGTTTTATCCCTTGGGTGTGCCTTTGAATGTGGGTTTGAATCCCAGATTCACCCTGAATATGTTTTTTTGGTATCTCTGTACCATACCAAATACTCATGGGTACCTCTGTACCATACCAAATATTCATGGGTATCTCAGTACCATACCAAATATTCATGGGTATCTCAGTACCATACCAATTATTCATGGGTATCACCAAAGTGGTAAACATCTAAGATGTGCATACTTTCCTCCCACATAAAGCAGCACTATGACATACATGAATACTGTTAAGAACAAGATTTAACCGAACTCACTCACTCCCTCTGAGTGCGTACATACCTTTATTGTCTGTGAAGTATTTACTGTATGCCTTGACCCAGCCGCTCCACTGGCGCCGGAAGTACTCTTCCCCATACACCTGGACAAACGGCTCCCTCATCCTCGCACTCCACTTGTCAACATTTTCCACAGCTGCAGGCACCACATTGCATTAGTAGAGCAACCAACACCCCTCAAATCATACAATGGACTGTCCGGAACATTCAGTTGTAACATGTAACGTCAGGTTAAGGATGGTTCCAGGAATTTATAAAGGGGTAAGGGCTGGGGTGGTAAACTGGAGGGTGGGCGGGGTAGTAGGCACATGGGTGGCATAAAGGCAAGGAAGGGTGGGGGAGGGGGGATAGGTAGGAGGTGGGTGTTGTGGTAGGTGCTGTGTAGGACATCTTCCCAACACAAGGGAGTTACCTGACTTTAAAAGTAGTTTAACTAGGCTGGAATTTCTGGGCTTGATCGTAGCGCCACCATTAGCTATAACGATATATATGTCCCCTTCTATGCCCCCACTACTGACAAATCCAACTCTCATATCACTTACTTTTGCTTCAAACAAAATGATGGTGCCCAGTCAAGATGATTTCATCGATAATAAAGATCTTTATTTCAATAAAACGGGTTTTACCTCGTGAAGTGCACATCACTTGTGCACCTTGATTAAAAACATGAAAACATTTGGAAAATATCTGTTGACGCTCTGCAAATCCTGCAATTGAACGAATTCGGCACGGCAGTTGCCATGTTGCTTATGAACCAGATGTCAATTTCTCTATGGGATTGTGATTGGACTATGCAAAGACTGATTAGTCAAGCCAAAATATAACCCCATAATTTCAGCCTAGTTCGGCAAGGGTGGAAATTGGACTTTTAAAGTCAGTTACCTCCCTTGCCTCAGGAAGATGTGCACTTGTGTTCCACGGACACAGCTCTGTACCTCGGTACATCTTCATGTCCTCTTCAGTGATGTAGGCGTTGGATCCCCATATGACCAGCTTCTGCACCAGTTCTGGGTGTCGCGCGGCCAGGATCAAACCCGTTATCCCGCCATCACTCCAGCCAAGGACGGAAAACTTCTTTTGCCCGAGAGTCTGGAAGATATGCATTACATAGACCATGAGTTTCTTCACTGTAACATTGAAATCCCCATTTAATCATGAGTGAGTGAGTGAGTGAGTATGGTTTCACGCCGCTTTTAGCAGTATTCCAGCAACATCACGGCGGGGGACACCAGAAATGGGCTTCACACGTTGTACCCATGTCGGGAATCGAACCCAGATATTCGGCGTGACGAGCGAAGGCTTTAACCACTAGGCTACCAAACCGCCGCCATTTAATCATGATAAGAGGCTAAAAGGTTTCTGAACAGGTGCAATGATATGACATCAGTTAAATCCTTAAAAAGGAGAGCTCTAGTTAAGAACGAAGGTATGTAATCAGTGATCAAGGATACACAGAATCAAGTAAGGCCACACTTTTTAACTTTATGTTTCACAGATTTATTCAAGCATTTCCACACAAGGTCAGTCGAAATGTAAATAAATAGCTATGTCAATCATATATTTATTCATCACTGATCGTGATGTAGACATGGAATTTATATGTAGCAATTTATGTTGTATAAGATTTGTTTGTTTGTTTGTTTGTTTGTTGAACTCCGCACTCAGCAATATTCCAGCTATATGACGGCGGTCTGTAAATAATCGAGCCTGGACCAGACAATCCAGTGATTGATATGAGCATCGATCTACGCAATTGGGATACCATGAAATGCATCAACGAAGTCAGCGAGCTTGACCACCTGATCCTGTTAGTTCTATGTTGTATAAGAGGGTCTATATTACGAGCAGCAGACCAAATAAAAATAATTATTTTTATTTTCAATTTATTGCTTTTCCAGGTGCTTTTCAGTAGGGGCAGAGGGCCTGTGAAACAAAAATAAAAAATTGTGTGGCCTAAAGCTCAATTCATACTGGTGCTTTAGTTAGATCATTGGAGATGAATACATGTATTAGTCCTTCCTGATTTTCACCAGTCTAAGGAGTACCGGTAAAGGCCAGACCAAACCCTGTTGAGGAACCTATGCAAGGTTGAAGGGGTGAAAAGAGGATGGGGAGGCCGGAGGAAGGGTGGTACAGCGACGGACACAGGTTCAAACACAAGATGTCTGGACAAAAATGGGATGCGCACCACATCCTTCCTTGCTATCAGTTGGACCCATCACAGGAACTGTGGTTTTAACAATAGGATGGGACTTGAATATCTTACATGGTTGTCCAGTGTAATCACGAGTGAGTGATTTTGCTTGAGTGAGTGAGTGAGTGAGTGAGTGAGTGAGTGAGTGAGTGAGTGAGTGAGTGAGTGAGTGAGTGAGGTTTTCACTGCTTTTAGAAATATCCCAGCAATATCACGACAGGGAACACCAGAATGGGTTTTACACATTGTACCATGTGACGAACAAACCACTAGGCTACCCCACCGTTTCTTCCTTCAAGTAAATGACATTGGGACATTTTCATGATTTAGCAACTTTCAATAGGACATTCTTCAATAATATTACCAAATTTTGAAAAGAATTCAGGACATTTTGACTGACAATGAGCGAATGTCCAAGAAAATGAACCGATCTGAAACTCTGTACGCACGTTCATGACAGCAGCAGCATCCTCTGCATCTCGCTGAAGGAACTCGAGTGGCCAGTCACGCTGGGGGGGTATACTGCGTCCATAACCCCGAGGATCAAAGCCAAAAACTGTGAACTTCTCTTGATTCATCTTCTCCAGCTGGGGATCAAAATCTGTCTTGGTACAGCCTGAAATTGAGTGAGTGAGTGAGTGAGTGAGTGAGTGAGTGAGCAAGTAGTGTTCTCAGTGAGACATCAACATGGTAACCACAATAAACTACACAATCGAGTTGGGTACAGGCAAACCAGTGGTTAATATGATGAACAACTATTCTCACCATTGAGGAATGGTGACACAGAATCAGTCAGATCACAAACTGTTACAACTTTCACCTTATTAGGTCATACTTACAATAAGCATGGGTTACTGGGAACCTATTCTGTCCCGGAATCCTTTGGAGAGGAATAACTTATATTAGGTTTGAAATATTGTCTAAAAATATTAATGGAGGATTAAAACACCCTATCAGCATTAAACAAATTAAAAGGACTGACAGGGCGGGTGAGTGGGGCTGTAATGCTGCTTTGAACAGTATCAGTCTTTTCACTGTGAGTCAGCTCAATGTGGGTGGGAAGACCAATGTGATGCTGGTCTTATATGTTTAAAAAAACAACAACAAAAAGCAAGAATCAATCACAGAAATCTTGGACTCAAACCTAAGATCATAGGATTCTGGTGCAGAGCTCCAGATAAGCTGCGTATCTGCGTAAAATACGCATCAGAAATGCAGAGAATACGCAGTAAAATAATATCCAAGCGTATCAAATATGCAACGAACATTACAGATACGCTACAAAAATAAAACTTGTGCGTATCATCAAAATATTGTGAAGCAACCCTGTGTATTCGATTGGCAAATCAGCAACTTATTTTGAAATTATAAACGGGCATTCCGTCAACCTTGCCAAGCTCCACGATGACAGTTACATCATGATCATTTGCCATCACACTTTCTTGTGGAAGTATCGTGGTATTTTTTAGTCCTATCAAGCTCTCGAACCCACACAACACCAGTTTGCAGGGACTAGATGAATAGTGTTTCTAAATATTTAACTTAAATACCCACATGTGTAAAAACAAGTGGGTAACAGAAATTTGAATACTCAGATAGAATTACTGATACCCAGTGATTTCAAAATGCAGGGGTAAAATACCCACAACACCAAAAGCTTATCTGGAGCTCTGCCGGTGTGCATCAGCACAGAGAACCCAGCCCTCTATACAACTGGAACACCTGTGCCCCCTGAAGACAACATCTAGCAGTAGCACAACGTCAAGGTAACCATGGAAACTGGATCCAACCTACCCAGGGCTCCAGGTAGTAAGAGGACAGTATGATCCCCGCTGCCACATTTTTCACAGTGAAAATCCACTCCATTCGCTTTAACTTGCAGTGACACTCTACGGACTGAATAGAACCTGTAAATAAAGGTTGAACAAACGGCTAGATATAGGCTAAAAAAAATAATAGTCTTGGTTCTCAGGCACCGCCCGCATCATCATCAGATCATAAAGTCTGCTGCACGTTTCGCTTTTATTTCAATTTTTTGTAAAAGATGTTATGGTCATGGCGGCAATAGGAGTTTGTATGCTTGTTTATATAGGGAGGCCCTTTCCCAGGTTGATGGTACACAACTGTTTATTTGGGAACATACTAGTTTGAACAAACAGAAAAAAAACAAAAAACAACAACTCTAGTTTTAAAAGTCATTGCCTGAGAACCAATTCTTTTATTTTTTTAAGCCTTAAGGAACTTGATTTTACTTGTGGATGTTGACATGAAAAACCAGTTGCATCAAACAAAATCAGGTTGCATCAAACAAAACCAGGTTGACCCTGGTACCATAAATTTATCAAAGTTGAAACATAGGCTTGTCTGCTGCCTGTGTCACATAAATTAATGACATTTTGCTGTAAAGCGTAATAGGAACATGCGGACATAATCTTAAAGTACACCCAGTTTGATGATGTCAAGTCCATGAAAGCCTGACAAATTACACATAACACGGAAATTATTGATGTAGTATGATAAATATACCTTATAGGTATTGAATGTGATCCAAGATCATTGTTGTGTAGAAAAGAAAGAGCTAGGGAGACAAAAAAAATGTGTTCTCTGTCCATCATGTTGTTACAGTATTATCCTTCTGTTGTCATTACCTTACCTACTCATGTTATCCCACTCATGTATGCAATTGTTTATTAACCCTATTAAACTATTAACCCTCTACTGTTAATGCCCCACCGACTATATATATTCAGCACCATGTTCATCATTCAGCCTTGCTTGACAACCGCATAAGGATCTACACCAAAACATCGCCTTTACAGTAAACATGGTAAATAAAGAAGTTGTAATGCCTATCAAACAATTGCCAAAAATAGCAGGTTGTGTTTTTAAGTAATAGGATGCACTGGTGCATATTATATACAGCTAACTTGAGCCCTGACAAAATGTCAATGTGCCATTAACATGACAAACAGATATGGCCATGATTATATGGACCGTATGAAGTCATAATTCCAGGAATAAACAATTTCAAAAAACAATTTTGGTTTAGTTTCTTTGCACAGGCACCTGAATTGATTATACACATTTCACAAAAACCTTCATTTATTTGGACAATTATCTCATTAATGTAGCACAAATAATCATGACAATACACGTACCTCACTTCATTCAGCAGCTGTGACAAGCAGGGATATAGTGAGTGAGTGAGTGAGTTCCGTTTAACGCTGCTTTTAACATTATTCCAGTTATATCACGGCGTGTCAGCTGAATGTGTGAGGAAAGCCCGAAGTGATGCAGGGTCTTAAGACGTTTACCACTTCGGTGAAGATCCGGGGTAGGATAGGTCGTCAGCAACCCATGCTTGCCGTTAAAGGTGACTATGCTTGTTGTGAAAGGCGACTAACGGGATCGGGTGATCAGGCTCACTGACTTGGTTGATGCACGTCATCGATCCCAATTGCGTGGATTCGTGCTCATGATATTAATCACTGGATGGTCTGGTCCAGACTTGAATATTTACAGACCGCTGTCATATATATAGCTGGAATATTGCTGAGTGCGGCATTAAACAACAAACCAGTGAGCCTGACCACCCGATCCTCTTAGTCGCCTCTTTTTACAGCAAGCATGGGTTGCTGAAGACATATTCTACCCTGGATCTTCAAAGGATTGGGGTGGTCGGGTAGCCTAGTGGTTAAAGCGTTCGCTCGTCACACCGAAGACCCGGGTTCGATACCCAACATGGGTACAATGTGTGAAGCCCATTGCTGGAATATTGCTAAAAGTGGCGTAAAACCATACTCACTCACTCACTCACTCAAAGGATTGAGTGACCTGGCTTTTGTTATATTTCTGATATTAAATCAGGAATGATCACACTGGTTTGCTTGTCGGGGGCTTGTAGCGCAAACAATAGCAGCTATAAGATATATGGTCACCCCCAATGTCAGTATACTATAAAGTTTATATCTAGTTGACACTGGTTGCTACGATAAATCTTATAGCTGCTATTTTTTGCGTTACAAGCACTGTGGTTTGCTTCTTATTCTATGCAGTGTAAAATAATTCATGGTTCACTACAGACTAAATAATACAACAAAATACGTTACAGGTATACGCTCATATTTCAGCTTTTAGTTTTAGGATGATTAGTTTACTGAAATAAAACAATCAGGTCGCAGCTATCAACACATTCATTTGCAGAATTGTGATATTATTCAATTCTGACAACTGCACCGACTGCATTTTTCGATTTCTAACACTGCATGTTGACGCAGACAAGGTTCTCGTCGTCGAATCCTACAAACAAACAAAATAGAACTCGCCTTCCGAAGTTCGTGCACGGAGCCTTCACCGTTCACGACGAGAACCTTGTCCACATGTGTTCATGTTTACTCCATCACGCATGTCATACCGAACATTTGGGCGGAACTTGTCCCTGAATGCAGGATTTGATTTCTGTGGTAACAGACAGCGTAACCATTGCTTAGTTGAAATGGATGACGGCGATAATCTGGCAGTCAAAATACCAGACTTTAAAATACATGTCACACTGGCCATATTTTCCAAGGGAAGAAACTCTCCCCTTTCACTCTTTTCTGGGTCACTTCCGAGTTATCGCCGAAGACCAATGGGTAATATTGTCGCCAACTCCCCGTTATAGCGCACGTGATCGCATCTCATATTACTTTTGCTTATTTTCATTAGAAGAGAGAAATATTTTTTCCGAAAATGAAGAACAAAACGGACTCTTGTGAGGAAATATTAAAAGAAAACGAATCATAATCACCTTACTCAAATCAGAGACCATATTCCGGCATATGGCCTCTGCTCAAATACAACTTCAGAACTAGTACAGTAAGTCGATGGGAAAGTTCTATTTCCACTGTTTTGAATCCCTATCGTAGCGTTATAACAGAAATCAACTGAATCTTATTCCACTGACAGAAATAAGCGCATTTGCTCATAGTTTAACAAAAATTAAAGTTATTGGTGCCGCGAGTGGCAATTTCAATGGAAATACCTGGATTTGGGAAATGTTTGTCATAAATAAACACGTTCACAGGTAAGATATTTGAAAAAAAGATTATATGAATGTTTCTATGAATATTCAGCGACTTTTCGTAAATGATCGAACTTCCATGACACGAGGATACTTTCGACACGACCTACAAACTGTACGCTTTTTAAAATATGATCCAAACGAACTGCAGATATAAATGCATGGGACTTTTGGTTAATGGTTAAATAATTATGTTTGTTTCTATGAAATATGAACAAAATATTTACGGATTAAGCGTGACAGAAGATGCGTGCCATACTTTGTTTATGACATACTGAAATCATGCATAACACGGCTTTTTATTTTTGTTATTAATCTTTTTATACCAGTTATGGCAACGTAAGTTGTTTCAAATTTTTTCTGGGTCGGATTTTATTTTTTATAGGTTTAGTGAACATCAGCAGAATAAAATATGCAAATCATAAACTGACTTCAAATATGTTTCGCTGAACGCTGTGATCTTCTGTATGTTTGTCTAGTTCATATCTGTGCTCTGACCTCTGACGCACCTCGGTCTCTGTTGTGAAAACTATTCAGGTCAAGTTTATCGAGGTGGTTGGGAATTCAGTAACTTATATTTGTGAACAACCAACATGTACCCATTAAATAATTATGATGTCTTCAATAAAGCCATTTATCTGAAACGATGTCTTTATTATCGTCGGTGTATACCTTACCCATGCTTGTGGGTCTGATTCAAGTGATAAAGGTTCAAGGTCCTACATAACCCTGGGCTGCACCATTGGGGATTCCGGGTAAGAATAGAGGTATTCCCAGCAAACCTATGCTTGTTGTAAGAGGCGACTAAACAGATCGGAGGCTGAATGACTTATTTGAATGCATGTCATCGTTTCCCAGTTGCGTGGATCGATGCTCATTGTATCAACCACTGGTTTGACTGGTCCAGACTTGATTAATCATTTGCAAACCGCCGTAATACAGCTGGAATATTGCTGTTCGCGGGGTCAGACAACAAACAAACAGATGGTTGCCTTCACACATTCAGCTGACACGCCGTCATATAACTGAAATATGTAAGCTTTGTGCTGAATAGAAACACTGCTCACGACGACCTTAAACCTAGACTTGCACAAGTCTCTAGGGCAATAATTATTCATAATTTCAATAAACAGTAAGAACAAATTGTCCCCTTAAAAGACTCGCTTCCTTGGATGTACTGTCCGCTTTTCTAGATTTTCCTATTATAAGGATACAATTACTATACATCCATGGACTTATCATCCATTACAGCCTTGGAGCAAGGCTACGTTAAACTCATTCTGATGTAAGACAGATTTGCTCTACATGACAAAGGTACGTCCTTGTGAAAAAAGTCGTAATTGCGTGACAACGTTGACATCGCTTTCGCACGGTAGTATGTAACCATGATGACATGACACGTTTGAGTAACCAGTAGGAAAGAGCATTTTATTATAATAGAGTTCAATTTATGTCTCACATTACCTTTAACAAACAAAACCAATGCAACGTAAAACAAATTTGATACATTGTTTCCAAAAGCCTATAAGACAGAGACCACTTCCTGCTGGTTTAATGAACTCGGTGAGTGAGTGAGTTTGATTTTACGCCGCTTTTAGCAATATTCCAGCGATATCACGGCGGGGGACACCAGAAATGGGCTTCACACATTGTACCCATGTCGGGAATCGAACCCGGGTCTTCGGCGTGACGAGCGAACGCTTTAACCACTAGGCTACCCGACCGCCCTTAATGTACAACTTCATGCTCCCCACCAGACACAAAACTGCAATGCTGTCATAGGTGAGGATCAGACCCGTGAACCTCCGGGGTAGAATAGGTCTTCAGCAACCCATGCTTGCCGTAAAAGGCGGCTATGCTTGACGTAAGAGGCGACTTACGGGATCGGATGGTCAGGCTCGCAGACTTGGTTGATGCATGTCATCGTATCCCAATTGCGTGGATCGATGCTCATGATGTCAATCACTGGATTGTCTGGTCCAGACTCGGGGGAGGGGTGTGTTTGTGTGTGTGTGTGTGTGTGTCTAAGGTGGTTTTAGTCTGAAGTTTATGTAACATGCGAGGTGAAACGTGGCGTTCTGGATTATTGCACTGATATAGCGACCAATCCAAGCACCAGGCAGGGCAACAACAAGTACCATCTTTAAGGTATTTTGGTATGACGCGGCCGGGGATCGAACCACCATTCTTCAGTTCCATCCACTAGACAACCGTGACGGTCCCAGTTTATAACAGACAACAGGAGAGACAAATGGATCGATAATAAACCTTTACTGTCCAGAAAATACAAGTTTTACCTATATTATGACTAGGAATAGCATACTTGCTTAAAAATAGTTGTTAAATGTGAAACGTTTTGCAAAAAATGTATGAGCACCTCTTATCAATTGGTGAATCTGACAAATATCATATTAAGCATTTATATCAAAATAACACATATAACATGAATACGGGTTCGTATCATATAACATGATTTGTATTTGTTTGGTCACCCTTTACACAACTTGACATGATACATTATCTCGAAATTATCTCCTTAATTATTATTTAAAATTCCACACACAACCACAACAATTAATTCATCGAAAACCCACGTAAACACAAGGCTTTTGGCATTACGAGGACATTTCAACAAGAGGTACAGTTACTTCCCTTTAACATTGATTGACACAGCGATCCGCGTGTCTGCAAACAATCAAATCAACTCTAAACAATTTCAGTTTCAGAACAAAACACTATGTGATGTTCGTGAAACATAGCAAGGCTTATTTACAATGCAATTAACAGTAATAATCTGTTGGAATAATGCATGGCATATATGGGTATTTATAAAGGATAGGTATTCTCTTGACACACATGTTTCTTGTCCGATATTTTTGACTTCGTAACCGATAACCGGACTGAAGGTTTATAAAACATAAAGTATCAATCGACACATTATTTCTTGATATATCTGTCTGTGGTGGGGTTACCTAGTGGTTAAAGTGTTCGCTCGTCACGCCGAAGACCCGGGTTCGATTTCCGACATGGGTACAATGTGTGAAGCCCATTTCTGGTGGCCCCGCCGTGATATCGCTGGAATATTGCTAAAAGCGGCGTAAAACAATACTCACTCTTGATAGTCATCAGACTTGTCATATATCCCAGTCTTCTCAATTATCTAGGGTATTATGTATACATTCTGTGATGACATATATCCTGGACCCTTTCGCCACAGCTTTACTATCAGCCCGTTTCGTATGACACGACGCAAAAGGGGACGTCCAATAAAATTACTCACCTCAGCGAGACGAATTCTGTGCTCTAGGAGCGATAAAGATGGTTACGTCACATCCGAAACGAAACCATGGTGACGACTGGACCCAGGATAATTATCATAATATAATGGATATTAATGGCCTGGATAGTCGAGGATGTGTCTTCGTAAGCGATTACAATATTTTCTATTTAAAGGGCAAAAGGATGTTGGGTGTCTGACCCTTCATCAACAGTACTGGGTGTAAAACAACCAAACAATCCAAAACCGTATCACCTGGGGAACAAACATCTAAACAATACTACACTGAACAACAAAATGTTTAACAACAGGTCTCAACAACTGTATGTTCACCATCTTCCCGACGCAAGAGAGTCAACTGACTTTAAAAGTCCAGTTTCCACCCTTGCCGAAATAGGCTAGTGGCTATTACGAGTGATGTCCCCTCTAAGCCTCTCCTATGGACCAATGAGATTCCACCCCTTGTATCGCTTGCATTTGCTTCATACAAAATGGCGCTGCCCAGTCAAGAAGATCTGATCGATAATCAAGATCTATATTGTGATAACATTGATCTTACATCGCGAAGTGCATCAAATTACATGAGCACATTGACTAAACACATGAAAAGATTTGGAAAATATCTGTAAACAAAGAGTTGGCGATGCACATGCTTTGCAAATCCTGAAATCGACCAAAATCTGCATGACAGTTTACGAACCGGATTTCGATTTCGTTGCGCGATTTTGATTGGACTATGCATAAACTCGTCAGTCCAGCCAAAATTAACTCCATAATACCAGCCTAGTTCGGCAAGGGTGGAAACTGGACTTTGATAGTCAGTTAACTCCCTTGCCTCGGGAAGATGTCTGTTCACATGTACTAAACAAAACATTAATACTTCCCAGGCTTAACAATACATTACAGTTTTGTTCCAACAACGAAAACAAATCATAGAAAAACGTGATGTTGAGCAATATACTGACTCATCATTAAATAGAAACATGTTTCATGGTAACAACAATAATGTTAAAATTAACACACCTCAACCTTACGTATTCATGAGATAGTACACATGCAACTGGACCGCCTCCGTGGTCTAGTGGTAGAGCGTCCGCCCGGAGAGCGGGAGGTCCGGGGTTCGACCCCCTGCCGCGTATTACCAAAAGACGTTAAAAGATGGTACTTGTTGTTACCCTGTCTGGCGCTCGGCATTTAGGGGCAAAAACAAGGACTGGTCGGCTCGGTGTCAGCATACTGTGTCTGAGTAGGG